CGGTTCATCTGCCGATATAGATTTTTGCACTAATTTTCATTACAAAGATCAAGTTTTGTCCTGTAGATCTTAGGTAAAGTAATTTATTATTACAATAAAAAGCAATAAATTGTTTTCAATAAGATTTAAACAAAAATTTTAAAAACAACTTTGATTCTCAAACTTTGACGAATTTTATAAAATATAATTTTACATTCGTTAAAAAAAGTATGACATTTTTTTTTTAATTATTAATAAAAATATTAATTTAATAATATTAAAATGGGTAACGACTTCGGTCTATAATAATAATAATAATAATAATAATAATTTTTTTGTTAATTCAAAGAAATCCGTGTCCAGCGACAACAGCCGGAATGAATCCTTCTTTTCCGTTTCTGTCGCGAACCCAAAACCAGTCTTTTAGCTGAGAACTTATCAGTGATACAACGTCTCCTTTACAAACGGACAATTTATTATTTCCATTACTTTTATAGTCTGTTCCTATAACGAGTAACGTTTGCTTCACGGAATGTTTTCTAGACGCTCGAAGATATAAACCGTCGACATTTTTTTCACCGCTGTCTCTTCTTATTCTGTAATTAATAAAAAACTCTTTTCTTAAAGGAAAATTTTTCATTGAACAACTAATATATTTAATTGTATTAAACTAACCTTTTTTTATTTGTTGTAACTCTAGCACCACCACATTCAGACCTTGTTTCATCTCTTAATTTTTCTCTGTCCGTCCGATTACCGGACGGTCTTGGAAAAATATCTGTTTGGGTGTCCCAACATGGTTGTGACCTAGAAGGAGCTGGTAGTATACCAAGAGGAAGACAACAAGCATAAGGAACGTATCCTTCTTCGCCGTGTGGCGTTTGCGCATACAACCATGCTCTATTTTTAAGTACTCCGTTGACTACCATTCCTAGGGGTAATGACACCTTGATAAAAGAAAACCGATTAACTTATTAAATTAAAGTACACTAAAGGGAATCGTTATTAAATTAATAAAAGAAGGCGTGGCAATCACACTGTATAATTTTCAATAACAATTATTATTATTATTATTATTATTATTAATAAAATTACAATCGTTTTTTAAATTAGAGTAGTAGCATCTCTAATTTACCTCCCGTTGTGGTCCACCTGTGTGCGTCTCATATAAAACGCAAGGCCTGGAAAGAACCATCGGAATATTTCCAGGACTATCCAAAGAAGCTTTCGTTAAAAATTCATCGACATCTTGGATTTCGTATCCGAACGAAGAATTTTTTTTTGTACAACGTTGTCGAGCTTTTCTTATTCTTCTCCTTCTTCCAAGTTTCGTCGTGGATGTCGAACTCGTAGGAGATATGCTTCGCCTCTCTTCACACTTTCTGACTTCTTTCACGGATTCTACTAAAACGGATTCGTTTTTCTTTGGTTCAATTGTTTTACTCGACACTTTTGTTTGTTTCAATCCGTTTTGTTTTTGTAAAGTCGATATTTTTCTCACATTATTCGGTTTAATAACGGCAATTTTTTCATCTTGACTAGAAGTTTTCGATGTTTGATTCCTATGTATTATTGATATATCATTTTTTAATGCCCACGTTAATGAAATTTTTGGCTTCGACCATAACGTCGAAGGTTTTTGACCCATTATTTCAACGGGAGATGGACTTCTCCGATAGTCTATATTTCGATTTGAACATATGAGATCGAAATCCAATATTGATCGATCTTCGATTTCATTTTCATTTCTATTACGACGTTCTCTCGATCGACCATCTCCTTAAAAAAAAAAAAAAATTAAACGAACAATTGAAATTAAATTTTAAAAATTATTTTCAATGGCAATTTAATTTTTAAAAAAAATCTCCTTAATTTATTATCATTATTAATTTTCATTCACTTATTGGGGAATTTTCCAGCATTAATTTCAGGACTTTATCCATCTCCTTAAAAAATAAATGGATTCTAATATCGATGGAAATGCTATTTAGGATATCGTCCAAAAAATGTGGGCCGTCCCACGCCTGAACGATTATTATCATTATTATTATTAAGCGATTGGATATAAAATTTATTAATTATTATAAATACATAATCATTTTAATTTTTTTCTTTTTTTCCCGAGACACAAAATAAAAAATTTTTATTTAAAATTCGAATAAAAAAAATCCCGTAAAATTCCGTTAAAAAAAAAAAAAAAAAAACGAATAAATTTTTAAATAACTCCCAAAAATTTTATTATTATTATTATTATTATTATTATTATTTTACAACTTACGACGGGCGCGTTCTTTTTTTTTTTTTTTTTTTTTTAATATTTTTTCATTCATTCATTCATTCATTCATTTCTAGTTTTTTTTTTTTACCCACACCAAATTTTTTTTTTTTTTTTTTTAAATAAACGATTTCAAAAATATACAATGATTCGAAATTAAACGTTGTGCGATTAATAAAAATTATCATTATCATTATCATTATTATTATTATTAATAATAAAATTATAAAAAAGAATAACCGCAAATTTAAAAACATTCGTACAAATATATTTTTTATATACACACGTAATAAAAAAAATTTTTTTTTTACATAATTTGTATACAAAATCGATACAACTTTTTTTTTTTCCTTTCAAAATATCATCATTATCATCATCATCATTATTATTATTATTATTAATTTTATTATATGTGTATAAATAAAAATAACAATTTAAATTATTTATATGATATTTATTAAAATTATTAGATAAAAAAAATATATATATATATATGTATACAAATAAATTTTATAAATTTTTTTTTTTTTTTTACGAATAAAAAAATATAATAATGATAATAATAATAATAATAATATTTATTACCGAGTAGGTGAAATTTATGTGAAAACAGTTACAAATCCAGTTAACGACAACAACAACAACAACCAAACAACCAAAACAAAAAAATATTATGTATATATATATTTATATATTTTACGATCAATTGATTTCGCTTTTAAATAATAATAATAATAATAATAATAAGACTTGATGATAACGCTTTTAGACATTAAATAAAATATTATTATTATTATTATTATTATTATTAATAATAAAAGATAAGTTTTTTTTTTTATAGCAAAAAAAAAAAAATTTATTAATACGTTATTATTTTATATATATTTATGTATATAACGATCAATTTTTTTTTCCCCGAGTAAAATATTGTTTAATTTTTTTAAACACTTTTTATTACAATTTATCAAGTTTTAAAAAAAAAAAATTTTTTTTTTTTTTTTATCCTGTTTATTTATTATACATTCAATGTCATTTTTTTAACGTACGAATGATGATAATGATAATAATAATAATAATGATAATTATAAGACACGTTCAATATGAGGAAATTTTTCAAAAAATAAAAAAAGAAGGAAGAAAATATCCAGAAAATCCCACCACGTGCGACGGCCCTTGATTCTTCGGAAAATATTCTATAAATAGCATCATTTATATTTGAGTATTTATCCCTAAGGAATCGACGGGTAGAAACCTGAGATAAATGCTTAAAAACATTCCGACGACAAATGAAAATCTTGTCTTGTTTAATAATCAAATAATAATAATAATTAAAATGTTATGAATAATTCCTCTCCCCCGAAAAAAAAAAAAATTCGGAATGATTTTAATTCAAAAATTTTTAATTATTGTCTCTCATTATTATTATTATTATTATTATTATTATTATTATTATTATTATTATTATTATATTTAGTCTCCGATACTATTAAGGAAATAAATTTTATATTTTATTTTGATTCTATTGATTGGTATTTAGGCGTCAAAACTTTTTTAACCTTTTGCCGCACGTAAAATTCCTCGAATAATTCCACACATCATATTATTATTATCATTCACTACAATTCGTTTTATTGTTTGTCGGAACAACAACATTCATTCCAGGTTTTTATCCCTAAGGAATAAATACCTGAATATGAGTGATGCTCGAATAGATTTCGTATTGTCATAACTTATGACATCATTGCAACAATTCTTGTAAATTTCCCGGAAACCATCGATTATTCGATTATTCGATTATTATCATTATTATTATTATTATTATTATTATTATTATTATTATTATTATTATTATTGCTATTATTATTATTATTAGATATTATAATAGTTTGAGATTTTTTAATGCGTGTGATTTAAATTAACTTTTTTTTTTTTTCGTAAATTTAACTATAATTGACGAGACAAATTTATAACAAAATGTCGATTTATTTTATTAAATAATTTATTTTTTCGTATTTATTTATTTATTTTTCTTATTTTAATATAATAAATAAATAAATAAATTTAATAAATCCGACGATTTTAGATTTTTAAATATTTAAATTTAAATTTTTAATAATTATTAACTAACATCATTTGAGTATTAATTTCGTCCGCCATATTGATTCTTTTACCCCATCAATATTTTCCGATGATGATTTTTTTTTTTTTTAATTTCTGTCACGACGTATTAATTTAACAACTACCACTATCATTTAATTAAATTATATCGAAATAATAATAATAATAATAATAATAGTATTTAATTTATTATTCGATCGAAAATTTTTTTATTAAAAAAAAAAAAAATTCACAAACGCATAAAAAAAACTTTTTTTAAATTTATAATAATAATAATATTAAATTTTCTTTAAAATGATTGATAACGATTTTTTGTTTTCGTTTTTATAAATGATAAGACGAAAAAATTTTATTTAATAAATACATAATTAATTAATAATTATCTATCATCTATACTTTTAACAAACAACAAAAACAACAACCACAACAACAGTAACAACGTTTTTACATTAAATGTGTAAAAAAAAAAAAAAAAAAAAAAACTAACCGGAAAATTTTTCTTTTTTCTTTTTTTTTACCTTAAAAAATACCTATAAGTAATAAAATTTATAAGGAAAATAAAGAGAGAGAGAGAGAGAGGGAGAAACTGATACGATATCAGGAAATAAATAATAATTTAATAATAATAATAATAATAAAGTCAAAATTTAAATGTTTTTTTTTTTTAACGAACTCGTGAAAAATCCGGACGTATTATTTTGAAATATTATTATTAAATACCCATTTGTTTTTGTTGACATTTTAATAATAAAATTTTCTTTGATAATAATAATAATAATAATAATAATAATAATAAATAAGGAAAACATATTTTTCCTTTTAAATAAAAATTTAAGTATTATAAATAATAATCGTCGAATAATAATATCAAACGAAACGTGCGTTTGCGTGCGTGTTTAAAGGTGCGAATATAAAAAAATAATATTTAATAATAATAATCGATAAATCGATCGATATATCGATCGATTAAATAATTCTTTAATTAATAAATAAATAGTAATAATAATTAGTTAATAAATAAGATTTCGAATTCGCCCCAAAAATTTAAGGGAAAAAATAAAAAATAAAAGTTTTTTTTATGTTCCATTTTCTTTTTTTTTCGTCGCCATTTTTTTTCCTTGATAATAATAATAATAATAATAATTCGTATTATTAATTCACAATTTCAAATATACATACATAAAAAAACGTTTGAAAAAAAAAATTTATTTTATGTGTTTTAATTTGCTAAAAGGGATTTTTTTTTTTATTACAAACTTTCAAATAAAAATAAAATCGTTTTTATGTCAGTGAAAATAATTTAATTGAAATTTCTCTTTTTCTCTCTCTCTCTCTCTCTTTCTGTCTCTCTTTTTGTCTCCATTGAAAGTCAATCGTTATAAATTCCGGTAAATAATAATAATAATAATAATAAAATTTTTTTTTTTAGAGCTAAACAAAAAAAAAAAAAAGAATCTTGAATGTTAATAATCGTAAAATCAGGTATTTTAATAATTTGAATCAAAATGATAAAAAAAATAAAAAAGCTTAAAAATATAAAGACTAAATAATAATAATAATAATAATAATAATAATAATAATAATAATAATAATAATAATAATAATAATAATAATAATAATAATAATAATAATAATAATAATAATAATAATGATAATAATAATAGTAAATTTAAGGGAGAGATAGAAGAGATAGAAGAGAGAGAGAGAGAGAGAAAGAAGAAAAAAAATTAAAAATACTCACAGTCATTATATGTCACTTAATATATTAATCCACAAAAAGTGAAAAAACATAATAATAATAAAAATAATAATAATAATAATAATAACAATAATAATAACGATATTTAGAAGTTTGTAATAATCCGTATTAGTGAGTAGTTAAATCCTATTTTTTTATTTTTTATTTTTTTAATCCGAAATGTTTAAAACTAATCCACAAAATAATTAATAAAATTTTTTTTTATTTAAAAATGATTAAATAATAATAATAATAATAATAATAATAATATCGAATGATAAAATACATTTTTTTTTTTTTTTTTTTAAATAATCCGCGACAAACGACACGATCAGTCACTTTTTTTTTTTTTTAACGAGAAGCCGTGATACCGACCGTGAGAGGAAGAAGATGCAAACTGGAGACAGACAAGTTTGTACTCCTGGACCACTTAATCATATAAGATTCAACTGAGTTTAACTATATGGCAAACTCGAAATAGATTGTCCGAATTGTGTGTGCGTGTGTGCGTGCGCGT